ATATATAGTATATTTATACAACATTGTACTGGTATAGTTCAATGTACAATATTATATGTGACAATATTTTATATAATATTCTAGTGCACAATCTGCCAGTGCTAATGCTAATTTATATTGCTATTTTACAGTTAATGAAATTAATGCCGTGTCTTGCCAGTCAGCTTTCAATGTTGAATTGCATTTGTTGTTATATATTGAGCATGTTCAGAGGCACAATCAAATGTTCGGCCCTAGTTATGAGTGCAGTTTGGACATGTCCAGGACCAAATCCTCCTTGTGACACTGATGGTGACCTTGAAGGATGGCTTATTGTTAAAACTGACAAGTCTCTCCTCCCAAAGTACTGATCTGGAATCAGCTCAAATATCATTATGCCTGTCTTGTTTTTTAATCTTTATCTTCAATTTGCAGACCCATCCTGAAGTCTCCCATTATTAGGTTGCTGCTCTGATTTATTTACGCAGATGGGGAAGATCAATCTAAATGGAGCCTTCATTTCACGGGCAAGTCGGAATGATGCATGTTACTGCCACTTAATTGAACTGTTCAGCTCCTCCTTCAATCCTGCCTCTCTGACATTTAAGGACACTTTTAGTCTTGGAGGATTTTCAGGAGTTATCTTACTGCCTAATGCTTCACAGAGTGCAGAATTAGTATACGCTAATCAACAACAATATTTTCATTCCTTATGGTAACAACCCCGCAAGCCACTGCCATCACCACCACTTTCCCTTTATAAATAATTGAAGATTAACGTGTGATATGGTTAGAGGTCAGATGGACAACAAAAACAGAAATGCCAGTGTTTCCTGTGCAAGGTCACATTCACCAATCACTCCAAGCCCCTGTCTGTTTTCACCCAGTAGCTCTATGAAGTGAACCTGCACATATAAACAACCAGTGTTCAAGCTGCTATTGTCATAAGGACAACTCATGAATGTTTAATCCTTTCGTCCACAACTGGGCTAAACTGATGTACCAGGCTGCCGCACAGTCCCTGACCTGAGTTGCCGAAGCAGGTAACAACCTGAGAGGACAGTTCCCACTTCGCCCACGACCGCAGGTTCAAAACGAGGGCCGAGGGGCCACAGGTGGCTTTCATGCATAAATGTCTGCCTCATGCATTAAATGGATGTGGCCCTGTCCTGATGGGAGTGCTCCATCTGCTGCATTATCAATGAGACCCAATCCCTGTATCACAGCCTCAGTCCAGACAGGAGGGGGATCGCTCATGAATTTCCCTCTTCATTGCTTCTCTCACCTTTGCAGAAATGGAAGTTTAAACAGACATCTCAAGATGGAAATTTATAAGAAGTCACATATTTTAAAGGTCTTGGTGACTTATGAGGTTGTCCCAAAAACCTTAGTTTATGAACTGATATGAGAGTATTTTCATTTGTGTACTCACTGATATGAAGTCTTAAAAATGCACTGCATTGAGAAGAAAAAGAAAAATGTGCAGTGTGTAGGTGTGGGCTTAACACAAACCACAGTGAAGATGCTGCTGGAAGATACTAACAGATACTTTTCTATATTTATTAATAAAACACTTCTTCAATTTAAAGAAAAAAAAATCCATATTAAAAGATTGTTTAACTTACATCAAAAAATAAAAAAAGGAATAATAAAATCAAACTTTCTGTATGTTTAACACAGTTGACTGAACAGAAAGTGACTGGAGCTTTTGCAGCAGTTTTGCTCCTCTCTTTGTCACTGAACTGCAGAAATAAAACCTATAACACTGAAAAGCTGCTACAGAGTATCAGGTCGCTGATTCAGCATATGTTTCTGAGTACACAGGTATCAAAGATACCCCAGGGATTTGTACATTCTAAATTTAGCCATTTGCCTTTTTAACATATAACTAACGATTTGACAAGTTGTAAATAACAGCATTAACAACTCATCGTATAACAATATGTTCTGAGTGATCCCTCTAATGGTTTTCTGTTTTTTGCTGTTAATGTAAATTAATTATTCAAATCGTAGAATGATTTAAGACAGGAAATGGTGAGTGATTACTGAAGGACACAAAGCAATATATATAGTGAATATATTTTTAAATGTTATTCACTTTGTTAGTTACAACCACAGACCCATGAGCGCCTTCTAAAGTTTCATCTCGTCACTCTCGTCAACCTGGCAGCCGCATGCAATGCTTGAGTGGAATAAAAGTTTCCCCCCTTTCATTAATGGTGTTGAAGGTACTCGCCTCAGTCTGTCATTCACACTCTATGACACACACTTGACTGGTGTTCTCTTTGTGCTGTCTGCGACATAAAAACTTAATGAGTGGGATGCACAGACGGTTACACACAGAGAAGCTGATTATGTTTGTCTTGCAAACAGAGAGAAGTCTGTTTATTCTGCAGCAGTCAAACCAAGCACCAGCCGCAGCAGATGAAGTGGTGAAGGTTAAGTTGATGTTTTCTTTTTAAATCAGGTGGATGTTACACATACAACTGTTGCCTCCCCCACATTTGTCCCACTACTGCACATCAACATTTGATCTTTAGTGAAATTATTATTCATAGCCTTGATAAGGACTGTAGTTTTCTTACAGTAGTGAAGGTTAGAAGGGCGACAGTGAATGCATGCTAAAACAATCGTGTATATGAGAATAAAACATCCAAAAAAGTACACCTATAGGCTAGGCTAATTGTCTGTCTAATCCTCAACTTTGGTTGTTCTTCTTTAGGCTTTACAATTATCTCTGGATTGTACAAGTTATATTACTGCCATCTACTGGGTCTATTAGTATAGTTAGTAAAATCCTTGCTGATGTATATTTACAGTACCTCTTGTTTACTTATGACCTAAAAGAAAAAAAGGAGTTAGTAAAATCCTTGCTGATGTATATATATATATATATATAGATATATATAGATATATATACATACATATACATATATATATATACATACATATACATACATATATACATACATATATACATATACATATACATATATACATATATATATATATATTGTGATTTAAAACAATAACAGCGAGAATTGATATGTTTGTATTTGTCTGCCTGCATCTGACAGCCTAATTGAACGTTGCCCGAATTGCCAGCTTTCTGTGGGTGCGAGGGGTGTTTACTTGTCAGAGGTTGTGTCCAACGTCTTCTGTTTGCAGCGCCCTCTCTTTTTTTAATCTCAACTCCTCTAAGTGTGTGTTTCTGTCAGGCAGCAAACCAGGCTTGGCAGCCCCCAAAACTGCCTTCGCTTCCATAAAACATTCATGAAGTGCAGTGCAGTGGCACCAACACAGAAAAGGTCACTCAAAAATAATCATTTTAGTCAGGCAAAGCTCAGCACATAAACACGCCAGCCTATAATAAATAATAAGAGTCTCCACAGACCTGTATCTGAAAGATGGTTAGCCGTCTGATGAAAATCTTTTTTTTTGTTGTTGTTGTTGCAGGTAATGACAGAGGGCAGAACTGGATGTTTTTGGTTGATATAAGGTTTTGTCGTTCAACAAGTAAAATCAGACTTTCAAAACACAAAGGCTACTCAAATACAGTGTTAACATTTGTACTTGGTACTTTGCTTTGTTGTACTTGCAAATACTTTTTTAACAGTTAAGAGTCAAACATGTTCTTGATACTACTGTACACATTTACAGTTAAGCAAGACGCAGCACGAGCTGCTGCAGTGATTACAGATATACAAGCACAACAATAACCCATCCCTGAGATATGAGACTCTGTCTGGCACTCAAAGAGCTGAGGCATTTTTTGGTGTTTGCTAAACATACCACAGCCAGGGCTGCAACTTTTGAACTGACAACCCTCCGACGACAAGTTTAAGCCTTTGACAGCTAGCCCACAAGCAGAATTATCCTTGACACCAATCAGAAAAACGTGATTGTTTACATGCTTGCACAACATTCAGTTCTTCCAGAGCTTAAGTTATGATGTGTAAATAATATGAATACATATATCAGATTTTATTTGTAGATTCTGATTGTATAAATACTGTTGTTACTACCATATAAGATTAAGAATTGGTGTTTATAATTGTTTCTCCTTCATGATTATGACTAAATGTACTGAACATTTGTAAATGTAAACTAGAAAAAACTGTCTGGCTATGATACATCATCTGCAGATATCTGTAAAGTAAAGAGATAAAAAGAGACATATTGCAGTGTTCTACTTCATAAGTACATCAGGTCCTTGGGAAGATTTATGTCAGAGTAAACATAAAACTACAACTTCTATTGCATTTACGATTAAAAAAGTGACTGATGGCATGTGTACTAGAAATTAGGTTAAAGGACAACTTAAGTGGCACAGACACTCGCAATGGTGACCTTCAGGTAGAGCAGGGTACTGTATGGATAGTGTATAAAATGACATCAGTACAGGCCAGACTGAAGGGAGAGATCATTCAGTAAAAACAAAATGGTCTTAACCCTCATTGATAATAAATGACTATTTGAGTCATTTAAATACTTAATATATTCAGCTCACAGTTTCCCACAGCACTACAGTAGCAATTAATGTTTCTGTTTTGTTTTTTTTCATGGAACTACTTAGTTTGAATATTTAAATAAAAATATTTGCATAAGAAGCCGGTGGTGTAACATCAGTATTCAGACGATTTTATTTGCCTTAAAATACTACCTGCATTAGTGTTGTCTTAAGTACACCATGGGCTCTACTGTAGACGGACGATTTAAATTGTTACTCACTTTGCATAATGGCATGGCAACATTAACCTTGTCATTTTATCTTTGGCTGTTGCAGGTTGTTTAAAGCACACAGACGTGGCTGGGGCCATTAGGGAGTAATCACAGGGGAACTGATTCAATGGACTGGGACGGGCTGCTGGAGGGAGCGGCAAAACAAATCACATTACACCACAATTAACACCAGGGAGGCCCCCGGAGACTGGACTCTTCTTCCTCTGCCATAAAACTTTGACACTCT